AGAAATGAACCAAATGCGAATCCCAGGGATGGGAGGGGAAAGGCGGGTTTTCTTCGGGACTTCTTTCTACCTCCAAGAAAACAAATGAATTTTTCACACCAAAAAAAGTGCTTTCGGTGCTCTTAACTTTTGTGGGGATTTTCAAACTGAATCTTAAACGTTTTATTTTAGATTTTTGCATTACTTTTTATGGGGATCATATATTTTTCTTAATATCCCCAGACTTTGCTAACACCCCCTCCCCCACTACCCCCTACCCGACACTCTTTTCCCACTTTTCCTGTTTCCTATTACCGGCAGTGAAAAAAATCGTTGCCTACTTCTAGGCAGCGAACCATAATCGCTTAACTTTATTCCATCTCCAAGGAGGAGGAGCAGAGGAGGGAGGGAGGGAGGGAGGGAGGGAGGGAGGGAGGTGTGGAAAGAGGTGCACAGGAGGCGTTCCAATAAACGCTTCCGAACTTTGGCCAACGATGTGCGAATGATAGAGTGCTGCGGGGGGTAGCCAGGTAGGGCAGGAGAGCCTTTTGGGGGTAGGGGCCTGCAGCAGCAAGAACGAACGCTCATAAAACTCTCGTAATCATTACGAGCCAGCCAGCTGTTTTCCCTGCCACGCGCAGCAGCAACATCCGAAACAAAACAAAAGCATCAGCATCAGCAGCAGCAGCAAGCGGGAAAGCAGCAAAAAAGGAAAAACCAAAGGAGGAAAATGTAAGAAAAAGAAGTGAAAATACTTTTGCCTTTGATGGCCTGAGTCTGGGTCTGAGGCTCGTTTCGTTTCGTTTCGTTTCGAGCGATTTTGGAGCTTAACCTTGACTCGCTTATGGCCCACACTGGGAGAAATCTCTGGCGATGTGACGGGACCCTTTCTTCGAGTGTAGGAGCGAGAGCGCATACTCAATAGGGGGCGTGGAGGAGCGCCATCTTGACGATGACTGCCGCCGCCACGCGTCTCGTCGCGTCTCATCCCATCGCCTGTTGTCACTGGCTCGGGCGTCTAATCTTATCTGTTACTTTCGGATGCCGCTCCTGTGTATCCGCACTGTGTGTGTATCCGTGTGTGTATCCCTCTGTCCCTCTGTCCTTCTGTCCGTGTGTCCTCCTGGGTCGTCTCCTCAAAGTCATTTAAAATTGTTGTGCACATAAAATACTACGTAGGATGCGGAGATGTAGGGGCTTCCCTTCCCTTTCGTCTTCTTTTCCCTTCACAAACAGAGAGGAGAGAAGAGCAGAGCAGAGCTCTTCCTAATTTGGTCCACGCGACTTTTATGACTTTAGTGTGGCTCCTCCATTCACTTTTACCCTCTGCTGGGGATTTGTCATTATTCTGAAATACAGATAGAGAGAAGGAGAGGGACGCGGATGGGCATGAGAAGGAGGCGGATGATGCTTCGGCTTCGGCTTTGGCTTTGGCTTTGTGTTTCGCCATTGATTTATATTTTTGTATACAATTTTTAATGTTTATTCTTGGTGGGCCCCTGGTGGTGCTTCAATGGCGGCTATTTATAGCAGAAGAGGGCCCCAAGAGAAGCGAGAGGTTTCTCCCGAAGAAAGGGAAACGCAAACATGCAACACGGACATGGACACGGACACGGACACGGATGAGGCATCGGCTGCAGGGCAAACTAATTATAACATTAGGGAGGGATAAGAGGTAAATTGTGCCCAACAGCGCACGGGGGACAAGTGCTTGTATCTATACCTACACACACACAGACACACACCTAAACACAAACACACAGATACACAGATATACACACACGTTTAGACGCCAATCAATAATTTTGCCAGAGGGATTTTTCACTGGGGATTTTTCCCTGGCAGAGAATGGGCTCCATCAAAGGCTGGGTCTCCCATGCATTCACACCACTTTACACTTCATTAGACAACAGGGGACAGGAGACAAGAGACGGAACAGATCAGAAGGAGCACACTGTTTCGCTCTGTTTCGCTGTGTGTAGCCTTTGAAATGCTTAAAAATAAAAATATACAACGTGGATGTGGAGGAAAACTCTCGAATCGCTGGGCAATTGATTAATCCGGCGTTAATAATACCATAGCCTTAGCTTTAGCCTTAGCTTTAGCTGCAGCTCTGCTGCTAGTTTTAGTCATCGATTATGGACAGGACATGGAGTCCATGCAGGGCAGGGCAGGACAGGACAGGGCAGGGCACCCGCTGTGTCAGAGATGGTATATTTTTATCCGCAGATGAAATGAGAGGAGGGAGCATCTCCTATCTCCTCCACTCTGCCCAGGAAGTCCATCAAGGACCCCACCCCTGCCCAGCCCAGGCCAGACATCCGCCCATCCACCTGTCAGGCATCCCGACACATCAGTGACATCTCTATGGGGCGCTTGGAAGAGTGTGAATGGAAATGTATTTCCCTTACAGCAGTCAACACTCGAGGCAGTTGTCAATTTCCGCCCTCATTCACGCTCCCAGCCTCGTCCTTGCCTCCGTCTCCGTCTCCGTCTGCGCCTTCGGCCTCCACTTCCGTTTCCTCTTCGATTGCTGGCCAAGGGAAAACGTCTTGCACGTGCAAAGGCTTCGCTCCTGGCAGAAAAATCAATTAACTTAAATTAATTCCACGAATCGCAATTCTCGCTGCTTCGGCAAAAGTTTTTCCCTCGCTCGAGAGAATCCAGAGACCAGAAATCCCGAATTCCGGGCACACACACATACACGTAGAGCACTGTATGTATCCTCTGTATCTGGATATCCTCTGTGTATCCTCGCATGAGCTTAGGATTGTAAATTTGTTTGGGCCAGACTTGCAGGCAGAGAAGAGCTTTGGCTCCTGCTGCTGCTGCTGTAGGAGTAATACCAAATGTTCCGACAATTTAATTTGCATTTTACTCGTACGAGGTAAGGGGTACGCGGCATGTGCCCCCAATCGATGGCTTGGCTTAGGCCACAGATGTATTCAATTGCCGCATGGCATCATCTATTGAATGTAAATCCTTTTTGGGGGGATAGAAATAGAGACAGTGGCAGAGGCAGAGAGAGAGAACTCGCTAAATGCAATTTCCATCTAAGGATAATGAACCGTAATTATTGATGGAGCTGCTCTCTCTCTCAAAGGATAATTGTTGAATGGAAATCTATCGGAGGATGTCCTTTCCCAAGGCTATTAGCATATTAATTACCCCCAGTCCTCTGGTGCCTCTGGTGCCTGCCCCTGCCCCTGCCCCGCCCAACGCTTGTCAATCGCTCTCTGGATATGCAGGCACACACACTTCATGTCCTGTGTCCTGGCTTAATGACCTTTAAAACCGCAGGACACCCCACCTACCTCCCACTTACACGCATGACAATTATCGGCTGATAGCTGATGCTCTTCCAACTGCCAGTGAAATTACAAAATTTTCCAAATGATTGCATGGTAGGTCATCGATTGACATCGCGACATCAGGGCAACCGATGGGAATTCATCATCAATTGCATTTGCGGCCATTAGGCGACGCTTTAAACTGATTCCATTCGAAGCTAATATTCAATATACAATGAGGGAATTAATTTAAGGGAACTCCCCGCCCCCTGACCAGGAGAAACTTCTACTGAAAGGCCAGAGGAGAGGCAGTGCACTCCTTCGTCATGGGTGGGGCCCCAAAAATCTAATTAGGACAAACTTGTGGCCTGACTTTGTACCCAGAATAATATATTCGTAATCGTACATTCGGGAAGGAAGTCTCCATTCATTTTGCATGCATTCAAAAGAGGCTTTAGCTCCTCCCCGAGGCGAAGTTTTTAGAGAAGACTAAGAGATTTGAATAGAACAATGGGCGGGTGGGGAAGGGGGTGGGGGGGAGGATAACTATTTTCCACACAGAGGGAAAATTAAAGTTTCACAACACGTAGAGAAAAACACATCGTCGTACTCCTCGTACGCGTATGTGTCGCATTAGTGGGAGTCAGTCGCATCGCATATCCTTTGGATACATTCTGCGCACTTGGGCGCTACAAGTTGTGCATAAATAATTTATGGCAGCTGGTGCTGCGGTTGATTGACTAACTGATTGGATGACTGAATGATGGACAGATGGGGCAATGCCCCCTCCACACTCACACGCCCCCGCAAGGGCGGGGGCTGGAGTGTTGCGTATGGAGTGCGCAACAAATGGAAATCATTGATTGCTTTGACAATCGCGGAATCTTTTGCACCCCATGCAGCGTTCCGTTTCCGTCAAGGACAGAAAGGATATCAAATATAGCAAACGCAAGGAGTCCAGGTGGTAGGTGGGCGGTGCTGGGTGCGGGGGCGGAGTGTGCGCACGTCATCGGTTTGAGGTAAAGCCTGCCCCACAGAACAGAACGCGGCAATCTCCTCTATGCGCAAAAGTTTAACGAACTTGGGAGGAAAAATCCTATATACATACATCCTATATATGTGTGTGTGTAATGGGCGTGTGTGTGTGTGTGTGTATACGCACTTTGTGTACGGCCATTATGTATTTGCAGAAGAGAGACAGACAGGTAGGGAGAGCTTTCTCTTGGGAGTGGTTTCTGGCTTAGCTTCGACGAAAGCTCTTTCCTAGGATACATGTATCCTACATGTAGCTGTACATTCTACACGACATGTAACAGGACTTTTGAGAGCGCCAAGGAACAAAGTAATCGGTAATGGCCCGATTGACAACAATTAGTCTCATTCTATACACAAATGTTGCGCATTCCATACACAAATGTTGCGCATTCCATACACAAATGTTGCTAATACATACCCTGCGAAATGGATGTTATAGAATTGAGAAAGTGTTTGTCATCCTAGGCTCTAATTAATGCAGAAACTATTCAGTCTCTGTTTTAAAGAAATTTTAACGATATTTTGCAATTAGCAGTCAAAATGCCATCTAAGACAAGGTCTTTACAAATTACGTTTGAAAGTAGGTTGGAAAACAGTATCTTTATATAATATCCACGAAATAGGGTATACAAATGCCCATACTGGTTGACAAGAAATGAGTCTGCACATCCTATCCTATACTATCCTTAGTGTGCACTACCAGCCATGCTCCTTCTGAAGGACATGCTTGTAAATGGTTATAGGAACGGGATAGGGCTTCGGCACCGGAATCCTGATCTGCTTGATCACCTCCACGGGATAGGGCTTCTCCACTTCGACGGGATAGGGCCTCTCCACCGTGTAGGGTATCTTCCGTTCGGTTATCTCTGGGACTATCTTGTAGACTGGCACTTGGATCTCCTGCTGGACGGGCACGTGGACGGCATAAGGCTCGGGGATCTGCAAGCGGATCACATTGGGCACTTGCACGGCCACCGGATGGGGAATGGGCAGTGGAATCTTCTCTATCACATGCACGGGCACGTGCTTGGAGATCTCCGAATATGTGGTGGGTGTATGATGGTGCTGGTAGTGTCCCTCACCGCCTCCTCCGCTACTCCCACTGCCACTGCCGCTGGCGCCGCTTCCACCGTAGTGGGAGCCCCCATCCCCTCCTGACCATCCCTCGTCGCTGTGCTCCGAGGCGCAGATCATCTGTATCCCGCAAATCAGTACGAGTATCTGCGGAAGGTATAGGTCTGAAAATGGCTTCGGTTCTAGCTCTGGGCTGGACTCACTATCCTCCACATGGTGTCCTGTGTGTCCTTGAGTGTGTGCTGTGCGGCTGGAACTCGATCGACCAATGCGAATGGTTGCCATCTATCCGCTGGCTTTTATAGCCTCCGAAAGCAAAAGCCACAGCCAAGGCCGCCCAAAAGTGAAAGATTTGCAATGGGATCGCGCCCAGGCCCTGATGTAACATCGAAATAGAAAGTATTGCATTGCCATTACCATTTCGCTCGCATAATTTCCATTGTGCCGCATTTTCCATGGCCATTTCCCGGGGAAATGTTATATCAACATCGAAACAAGATTGAGTTCAAGCGGGTATCAAGTGGTCCAAGTGGATATCAAGTGAATGTCCAGTCTTTAGGGTTAAGGTTGTTGCACGTACTCCTGCTCCGATTGCTTCCGTCAGCCGTGGCAGTGGCAGTTGCAGTGGCAGTGGCCACTGTGTCTGTGGCAGCTGGAAAAGTGAACGCTCCACTGCAGACCAGACCAGGCATTTTCCCGTCAGACAACTTTTAATCAGCATCCCAAGAGTGGACGCCCAGCCGAAATGAAAACTGGTTAGCAAGTGGCAACAGCAAATGGCTTTCAAGTATGATTTATTTTTACAAAAAATGTCCGCCCGTTATGCCATGGAAAAGTGCCATAACTGGGCAAAACTCTCTAACTAAATTGTGGATGGCTAAGAACTAGGAGAACTTCCTCTAGGGCTTCCTCTAGGGGGCCTCTGCGTCCAGCTCGTCGTCCCATTCCCAGTCGTTGAAGTCATCCTTTGGGAAAAGAAAAGCAAACCAATTAGAGTCTTCGAGGGAATCTTCTCAGAGAGTACTCACATAATCATCCAGCCTGCCCTTCTCCTCGGGCAGGGCTCTGGGGGAGCAGGCCACGTAGGAGACGCCTGTGTTGTGGGCAGAGCACTCGCAGGTCTGCGCCTGGATGGGCCTGGCACTGAGAGCCACACGTTTCGCGAAGATGGTGGCGAACCGCTTGATGGGATACTTGCGCTCCGGCTGCAGCTTGCGGGCACTGAACACCGAGCCCTCGGTCTCGAGGGCCAGGGGCGTGCAGATGCCCAGGTTGCTCTTGGGGATGTGCACCTGCTTGCGGGTCTCGCCGTCGCCCTCGGGGAAGCGCTTCGAGTAGACGAGGTCGCGGTCCATGCCGAAGAAGTGGCGCAGCTTGCGGCTGCGCTCAAAGTCGAATTCCGTGTCGGCCAGGATGTGCAGATTGATGCCCTCCTCCAGCATGTACTGCAGGATGGAGGTGTAGTCGAAGCGCATGTCCTTCGCGGCGCACCGGCTGCAGGAGAGCAGGATGAATGTCTTCGAAACACCTGGGCGGAAGTTCAATTTGGCTGCCGTGGAAATGGCCATCAGGATGTCGCTGCTGCTCCCGTTTCCGGTGTTGATGTGGCCAAAGTAGTCCGATAGTTGCTCCGGCCTCGACGTGAACTCGTTGTGCTCGTAAATGATGCTGCGTGCCCGGTCGTAGGGCGCCGCTCCACCAAATGCGACCACAGAATACCTGAAAAGATTGTCGACTCGATAAAAAATTGCGGATTGAAGCGCTCTCCAGGGGCTACACACCGATTGTTGGTCAGCCCGGCGACCTGCAGCTGCTCCTCGATGCTGCCGACGACAGTCATGATGTTCTTGGACACATTCAGATTGGCATTGCAGTCCTTGGCCTCAACAATGAACACCACATCGCTGCTGTGCGGGATGTCCGCGCCTGTCAGCTCCATGAAGGTGCCCTCGGGCACATACGAGCCATTCGCCAATTGGCAGCTAAAGGAAAACAGGGAACAGAAACAGAGTCAAGGAACCACACCTCTCGATGGCAGATAGCAGAATCGCTTACAAGACACACTGCGAGGGCACTCGCATGGGCACCTTCAGGGCCGTGCAGGCCTCTATGTACGCCAGGGCCGCGGCACAGGCTCCCTTCACAGCCGGATGTCCGGTGCGAATGGGCGCCGATTTCATGCCCAGATCCAGGCACATCTCGTAGAAGGGCGTAGGATCGAGGACAGCGCTGCAGGTGGACAGGATGCCCGTGCGGAAGAAGCTGCTGCACGTCTCGCTCACTTCCTTGGTGATGGCCGGTCGGATGGACGCCTGTGTCTGGCGGCACTGCTGCACGCTCCAGGAGTCGGTGAATGCCTGCGCCTGGGTCTCGTTGGCAATCACACCATTGGACATGGTGTACTCGTCGTAGGGCTCGTTGTTCAGCGTCCCTAGAAGGCCGGCGGTCTTGGCAAAGTACCAGCCGCTGACCTCGAACCAGCAGAGATCGAACTGCACGTTGCAGTGGAGGCTGAACTGCGTGTCCGAGGTGATGGAGAGGACATCCAGCTCCCGATAGATGTTCACGGCGCCCAATTTAAGAGGGAGAATGGGTTGCGGATTGCCATTGACACTTATGTGCTGCGGACAGAGGAGGAAAGGGTGAATGTCTGGTGTAGAAATGAGGCTACTGTCACCTACATCCGTTCCCAGATCGATTTCAATCAACTGTCCATTGGCGATGAAGCTCAGCTTTCGCGTGAGTCCTTGGGATTGGGACGATGGCTCCAGCAGCAGGGTGAAATTCCGCTTGAAGAAGTCGTGGGCCAGCAGATAGCTGCACTGCGGGTTCGCGCTTCCATCAAAGTCCAGATTGAGGCCCACATAGCGCTGGTCGAAGGTCATGTAGTGCCTCGAATCGATGAGCAAGGCGCGAGCTAAAGAAGAGAAGAGCATTACAGGAAGCATTCAAGGGGAACACGAAGCAAAGAACTCACAATAGTAGGGTGGAAGCCAGGTCTTGGGATCCAAATGCGCCCGCATGTTGTAGAGCTTCATGACAATCGAGGAGTTCGTTTCGGAGAAGAAGCTCTGGACCTTGGAGAGCATCTGGTACTCGGGTATCTCCTCGAACTTGGGCGTCTCGTTGAAGGCGTGCCACGACATGGGCAGCTTCTGCTCCAGATCGATGATGCCCACCTCGGGGTCGAACACGAACTTGGTCTTGGCCTCGCGATACATGTCCGCCGTCTCCAAGGCATTCATCGCGTAGTTCCTGAATTTGTTCCGCAGGAGACCGTACACCTGGTGGAGGCGATGCTCGAACTGCAGCTCATCGGCCACCCAATCGATCTTGGCCACAATCTCGTTGTACTTTTGCACCACGATCTGCACCTGCTCGATCTTCTCCAGCTCCTTGAGCTCCTGCCAGATCTCGGTCAGCACCTCGTTCAGCTCCGCCCCAAAGGGCACGAGCTTAAAGTACTTCTCCTTGACGAAATTCCACGCGAGAGTCGAGTACTTTTTGATATTGGTGATGGCGTCGTTGGCCTTGAAGTCCCTGTAGAGGCGCTCCGCATCCGCCGTGAAGCTGGACACCTTGTTGAAGTACGGGGACTCCGCCAGCTCGTTCGTTCGCTTGTAGATGAAGTCGAAGACCTCCTTGCTGAGGTCCCAGGCTGTCGTTTCGATGAAGCTGATCATCTTGAACATGTGCGGCTCGAAGCGCTTCAGGACGTTCTTCCAGTGGTTCTCCGCGAGGGTCCAGGTCTTGTGCCACAGGTTCTCGATGTACTTGATGAACTTGATGTGCAGCTCCTTCACGAACTTGTCGTACTTCTCGATGCCCTTCTCCATCAGCGTGGACACGTAGGCGAGGCTCTCGCCGTGGAAGAACCTGCTGACGGCCTCCAATAGATTGTTGTACGTCGCCTTGATCGTCTCGATCAGCCACACGATGCTGTTGCGCAGCGCCTTGCCGGAATCGCCCATCGCCTGCCACAGCTCCGTGAAGATCTTCGGCAGCGACTCGATGTGGTCCCTGATGGCCAGCTCGTCGAGGATCGTCAGCGTGAAGTTCACCACGTGCTTGATGTAGAAGTCGTTGGCCTCGTACGACTTGTTCATGAACAGCCTCAGATCGTTCAGATCCTCCTCCAGGACGCTCAACTGGCCAATGTCCTCGATGAACTCCTTGTTGTACTCCCGGGCCGTGGCCCACACCACGCCCACCGACTCCACTGTCTCCGTGTAGATGGACTTGATCCAGAAATCAATCCCCTCCGAGAAGGAGCTGTAGACGGAGTTGCCCACGGAATTGATCTTCTCCCGCAGCTCCCCGCGGATGCTGGGACGCCAGTGGAAGCGGCCCGTGATGAGGCGCGAGTGGTTCATCTTCAGGTAGGAGCTGACGTCGATCACCCTGATCTCGTCGTAGTTCCGCCAGATGTCCAGGTAGCCGCTGCGCGAGTCTGGAATGTAGCCTACCATCTGCAGGTTCTGGCTGGCATCCTCCGTGAGGTTGAAGTCCATGCGGGCGTACCGCTCCGCCAGATCCACGAACACATAGCCCGTGTGGTTTGTGTCCGGCGTGTCCCAAATGGTGGCATTCAGTCCGTAAACGGGATACTGCCACGTCGGCAGCAGATGCAGGCGCACGGCATGGAACGGCGACTGGCGCTCGTACTCCAGCTCCCGCTTGTTCAGATCCAGGAGGGCCAAGAACTTGCCGTATCTCGCGGGGAAGATGTCGCGCTTGTAGTGGGCCGTGGACTCCGTTTTGTAGTAGGAAGTGCGTGCCGCCAGAGTGCCGTTCAGTTGCACGTCCAACTCCGAGGCCTGGTGCTTGCCGTAGATCTTGAACGTGTAGTTCGTGTGCCCCAGCTGGCTGTAGAGATCGCGCAGCTGGGCTCCCAGAACGATCAGCTGTTCGGGCTGCTCCGAGTAGTCGATGGTGAGGTGAGTGCGCAGCAGATCCTGCGCTCCGCGGTAGTATGTGGCCCGGCAGTTGATGTCCTTCTCGAGGTAGGGATGAGCCACGGACAGCCCGAACGTACGATGGTCGCGATCGCCGCGATGCAGCGGCTCTGCCGTCCAATGGAGATTGCTGCGAATCGTCTTGGGCTGCTGGTAGATATCCCCGCCGCCCCACTGCAACGACAGATCCGAGTTGAAGTGGTTGTCCGTGATGTAGTACTGGCCGGCGGTCGTGAGGTTCCTCTTCGGGTAGAAGATGTCCAAGGCGAAGCTCTGGGATTCGTTGCCGACCTTCAAGAAGCATAATGAATACATGAATCAACGTATATAGTATATAATGATGAATTTCCGTACCGTCGTGAAGTTGCCCAGCTCCAGATTGTAGCCGATCCACGCCGTCTCCGACAGCTCCAGCTTCGTGCGTTGCCTGACGACCTCGGGGCTGACTTCCTCGTATTTTGTGTACAGAACCACCGCTCGATTCGGATGAATGGCCACCACCTTGAAGTCCTGTCCGTTGATCATGATGCGCGTGTGCAGCTCTCCCGTGAGATTGAAGTTCTTGGCGTTCCGCAGTTCATAGACTTCGATGTGCTTGATGTCGCGCACCCCCAGGGGGTCGCTGGTGTCCCGCGTGTTGACGTAGTGGATGCCCAGGGGCTTCACATCGTTCTCCAGGGTGATGTCTGTGGTCTCCTTGTAGAGGGGGCTCTTCTTCTGCTCGTTCCGCTTGTACTTGCCGTCGAGCACCTGCTGATCGTTGTAGACGACCTTTACGTTGCCCGAATCGGTGTTTTGACGCTTCTGCAGGCCGTAGGCAATGTCCGCTCGATGGCGCGTAGTCAGGGGCACCTCCAGCTCCACGTTGCCATTGAGATTGTGGTTGCTGTTGTCCGCCGAGCTGTTGTAGGTGCTCTGCAGCTTGAAGTAGGCGCTGTCCTGTGGCCAGAAGCAGCGGCAATAGCGATAGCTTTTACCACTGGAAGAGGGAGAACAAATGAGGATTATAATGCCATTTCGGGAAAAGGGAATCCCTCACCTTTTGGTCGTGAATTCAAAGTCCGTCTTGAACCAAGTGACATTCAGGAAGGGCGTCGTGCTGTTGAGGGTTCCGTGCATATTTGTGAGGGAACTAAAGGACACGTCCAGGTCACTGATGCGGCGACTCGCGGGATAGTCCAGGGCACACACCAGATTGTGGTACTCCCTGTCCTTCTGGTCGTAGTGTCCGGTCAAGGCGACCGTGTGCTCCTCCTTGAACTTGGGCGTGATGACCTTCGCGTAGAACTCCCGCCGGACGCCCTGCTTTTGCAGCAGCTGGAAGTCTCCCTCCACCACAGAGGGGCTCTTCACCGCTCCCCACTCCACGTGGGCCAGGCCCTGCAGGTTGCTCGTCTCGTTGCGGTAGGAGAGGCGAGAGAGAAGCTGCTTCTGGGCCTCTACTGCCTCGTAGGAGACCTCCAGGAACAGATGGGGATCGATAAACTGCTGGCTAATGACGTTCCCCCTGTAGCAGGCGCTGATCTGATGCCGATCCCCCACTGGGAGGGGCAGCTGCGTGAGAATTCCGAACTCAAAGTCGTCGACGGAGGCGTAGCGCAGGCTGCCGTTCACGTCGAGGTTCCACTTGGAGTCGACGCTCAGGCGGCCCCCCGTCTGCAGCTGCTGGAACGTCTTGCCGGGATTCAGGTACCTGGCGCTGGCGTGCACCTTCCGGGGCTGGGCACTCGGCCGCTCCAAGTAGCTTTCGAGCACCAGCTGCAGGTTCTCCGCGAGGACCCACGACCACAGGCAGCTGCCGCGGCCGATGTACGGCCCGATCTGGTACTCGCCCACGATCTTCCCCCTGTCCGAGTGGACGCCCACGTCCGAGTGCAGGTGCACCGACTCGATGCCCAGCTGCTTCCACGGCGTCTCCAGATTCACGTCCGCCACCATAGCCCCCCGCTCGGTGGAGGGCTTCAGGGTCCCGTAGAAGTTGATGCGCGCTATCTCCGGCTCCGTGCTCTCCACCAGCACCGAGAAGTCCATGCCGTCGTCGCTGACGCTGTACCCGCCCGATATCTGGCACATCTTGCCGTCCTCGATGGCGCTGAACGAGAAGCGGATCTTCTTGGGCCCCGCCTCGTTGATGTTCACCTCTATGACCCCGTCCCTGCCCCCCGCCTTGGGCTGCACGCGCAGCGTGGCATCGATGGGCAGGCCGTCGCCCATGCGCACGGCTCCAGTGATGCCATAGGTGGCCATGTTCCTGTACAGAAATCCTGAGACGTCGTATCGCTGGGCATCACGCGGGCTCCTCACAAACGTCCCGTGCATCGAGATGTTGCGGTAGTTCTTCAGCGGTGTCCACACCTCGATGTTGAAGACATCCTTCTTCTTGTTGGCCCGCGTCCCGTAGGCCACGCTCTGGCCGTCCCTGCTCTGGAACTGCAGGTCGAAGCTGAGCTGCGGACTGGCCCCCTTGGTGGCCAGCACCGAGGTGGAGGCCTGCTGCAGGGGCAGCATTGTGGTGCGGATCCTGCCATTGGCGTTCACAAAGTACTGCGGATCCGTGTGCCAGTCCGTCTCGATGTGCAGCTTATTGATGGTGCCGTTGTCGGTGACCTCAAAGCGAATGTCGATCGAGTTGTCCACGGCCGAGAAGTCCTTCTTGAAGTACGCTTGGCAGGCGTAGTACGGAATGACGTCTGTCTCGAGGAGTATTCCCACAGCAGTCTCCAGGAAGCTGTCCTCGTTCTGCAAGGATGCAAAGAGGAGGAGAATGATTAGAGGGGGATACATGGGATACAGTATATGTGGTGCATACCTCCACAGAGGCCGCCAGAGACAGATGTGTGTGCGCTGTGACCGAAGTGATGTTCCCCTTGTACGCATTGTCGTCCACTTCCAGGCGTCCGCGTATGTCGATCTCCTGGAGCAGCTCGTAGGGCGTCGTCAGCTTCAGCTGGACATGGTGGGCCTTGGGCTTCACGTTGTCCTGCACCTTTGTGTAGTTCACCTCGAATCCCAGTTCCTGGATGTGGTTCTGGACATCGTTTACTCTGAATTTTATGCGTTCGTAGAAGGAATTGAAGTTCAGGTCGATGTGGTACTCCACAATGGACTTGACATCCCTGGCGGCGGCAAAGGGCGTCTGTACGGTGAGCAGATTGTGGACATTCAGGTAGTCCGGATAGTGAAGGCGATCCTTGAACTCCAGGCGCCCTTGCGGCAGCTGCACGTGCCCCACAATCAGATAAAAGTCAATGATCTCCTGTATGTCCACAGTGCCCACAACGGTGGGCCAGGCCAGGGAGTCCACCTCAAAGGACGTGAAATACGAGAAGTACTCCTCATCCGCGTCCGGTTTGTAGTCCATGTCCGCGTTCAGCGGCTGGAAATCCTCGTCGTAGAGCATCTCCAGCTGCATCTTGTGGCTGCCCAGCTGGTTGATCAGCTCCGACTTGGGCTCTCCCCGGATCTTCACGCCCAGTCGGTAGCTGGAGAGTTTTCCGTGCAGCTGGAAGACGAAAGTCTCGCGCTTCAGGAGCTGGGCAATGAAGCCGTTCTCCTCAAAGCCCGCCAGGGGTGTGAACACCAGGTACGAGTACTCAAAGTCCGTCAGGTTGTTCATGTGCCAGACGCCCGTGAAGCCGAGCGTCGCGTTATTCCACAAGCCCCGCATGTCCACGCGCTCGGGATTCATCTGCGCCACAACGGCCGCTTGCTGGAAGCTCTCGATGGGCGTGGCGACGCTCAGCTTCACATCGAAGGTGAGCAGACTCTTGATGTCCGCCAAGGCCTCCACTCCCAAGGCCGCTGTGGGGGCACGAACCTCGGCCACGGCGTGGCGTTTCTTTTCGTTCAATCCGAACCGCCCGTTGATGGTGCGGAATTTCTCCAGGGGCGTCGTTATGTTGATGGTCAGCATGTTGTCCGTGAACTTCTTCACGTAGCCATCCATCGTGAGGGTAAACTCTCGGACGTCAAAGTTCAGGGACGCTGCGCCGCTCACCACGCGCTGGTCGTTGAGCGAGAACTTGGCCACGAGACCGCCCTTCTGGTAGCCCACGAAGGGACTCACGAGATGGACCCTCCCCGAGACGTTGTGGTGGCGCTGTGTCCGAGATATCTCCCAGTTGGAGTTCATGCCGTAGGTGCTGAACGTCTCGTTCTGGCTGTAGCGCAGGTACAGATCGGTGTCCACCTTGTGCGGGTCCTGCCAGTGGATGACCTTCACGTTGAGCGTGGGTATGTCCTTGATGGTGCTGTTGATGCCGAAGCGAACGTCGAAGGACACGAGCTGCTCGCTGATCTCGTAGTCGCTCTTGTAGCCCAGCTCCAACTTCTGATCGTCGGCCCAGAAGAGCGTGGAGTTCACGAGGATCAGGTTCTGGAGGTTGTAGACGCCCGCCCGCAAGCTATTGGTGCGCCAGCCCTCGAATGGTGTCCTCAGCTCCGCATGCAGCCAATTGTGGAGCGTCTGTCCCGGCAGGATGCCCGCATCGTACTCGAATTCGATCACTTCGGTGATCGACCACGAGGCATGCGCCTTCCCGTAGTATTTGGGGCCCCCCGTGAAGGTGTTGAAGCCGCAGTTGATGGTGCGCTCAGGATAGGTGACCATCATGTTGCCATCGTAGTGCTTGGTCCCCGGATTGTTGTACTCCACAAGGAGGCCCAGCCGCTGGCTGGGATCCCGATTAGCATCCCACTTGAGCTCCAGAGAGAGTTCCTTGCGCTTCTCCACATTCAGGAGACCCACTTTGATGTGAATATCGCGGATCCTAGGCAAAGGATTGTTTGATATTTTAATGATACCTTCTTTTTGCTGGTTCTCCACTTACTTGTCGATGTGCAGCTCCAGTTGCAGGAGTTTCGGCTGCTCGGACAGCAGCTTCGCGTTGATCCAGTAGTCCCGCTCCTTGATTTTGAAGCGCACCTCGGCATTCGAGTTGCGGTTGTGCGCATTCGCGGCGTACTGCACTGTCAGCCCGTAGGGATCCTTGCCGTACTTCGCCTGCAGGTCGTAGAAGATCAGCAGCTGGTTCCGCCGGTAGACGATGTTCAGGGAGGTCGCCTCGAACGAGGGACTCTCGACAATCAGCTTGAGATGGTGCAGGGCCTGGACCCGCGAGCTGCGATCCTTGTAGTTGCCCTTGAGGGCAATGGAGTGTCCCGTGAACCATGAGCCATTGATGAAGATCTACAGAGCAGAACCAGGAATTAGTTTGAGGCGGAGCGGCAGCGACAGTAAGAGACACCATACCATGTACTCCTTGGGGGCTTTTTCGTTGACTTTGAGGCTGGCTGTGCACGAGTTGAACTCGGGCACCGTCACATTCATGTAGGCATCGATGGCGAAGAGGTTTCTCCTTGGAAGATGGACGGAGAAGAGCCCAGTGACCTCCTTCTCCGGAGCGTACTTGAGTCCTACGATTACGTTATGTTCCGTGCCATTTTTGCTGCGTTCCTCGTGTCTAAAAAAGAGCATTTAGAAGCTAATCCTGACCGCCGAACCCTCTCTACCTACTTGACCATAATCCTATAATCGATCTTCGATCGAGGGAGCTTCAGTTCGACGCTGGCTCGTGTGCGCGACCCCTCCCAGAGAAGATCCTCCGACTGGGAGCGGGCAAAGATCAGCCGCAGGAGGCTCGTGTAATTCGGATTCACATAGTCCGGAGCATTGTTGTACGTGATCATGCCCTCAGTGTGCCCCTGCAGGCTCAGCCAAGTGGCATTCGAGGCGAAATTGAGCTTCGGATAGGCGGAGGTGCGCAGCTTCATGTTGCCCCGATACTCGGTCTTGGCCCTGTCCCCGTTGTTCATCAGACGACCCGCAAAGTTGATTGTTTCGATGGTGTTTGCCTGGAACTGCGAAGGGGAATACCAGGGGAATGAAGGCCATTAAAGGATAGAGCTGGAAGGGAGTTGAGTTGGAACATACCCTGTATTTGATGGTCATGTTCGTGGAGGTTGTCACCTCGCTCTGGACAATGTTTCCCCGAACGACGGCTTGGAGTTTCTTCGTCTCGAAAGAGAGGTCCACGTCGTGCTGCCGGATGCCGTTCTTCTCGTTGATCTTGATGGATCCCACCAGTCCCGTGATGTTCACCCCATTGATGGCCAGCAGCATCCGTGGCTTGTAGATCCATGCGGTAAAGTCCTGCTGGCGGCGCAGCTCCATTCCCAGGTCCAGCGAACGATTCCCATTGGTGTCCAAGTACAGATCTAGTCGTCGGTAGTCGGGGTCCCCGTCGTAGCTGCAGCCAGCGGACACGCGGTTCCTGCCGTTGACAAACGCCACCGAGGCATTGAAGGCGTGCGGCACACTCGTCACATTCGCCACGAGAACGCGCGGCACCTTCGATCCGGGGGTCGTGAAGACCAGCGAGAAGTTGTCGATCTCCTGCTGGTCCCACCTGTACTCGAAGACGTACTTCTTGGAGCTCAGATCGGACTTCTTGAGGATCAGGCTGAGATTCAGAGGGCCCGCGAGCAGGAGACTGGGATACGCGCTCGTGGCGTTGCTCAGATCCGCGACACTGTAGTGGGAGCACATCTGCAGACCCAGCGCGCTATCGAGCACCGGCCAGGTGCAGGTGGAGTTGGAGCTGCGCTTGGGGATGCCCGCCTGGGGCAGCTCCTGGTCGCGCTTCATCACCAGCAGCTCCGAGCGGACGCTGAAGATCTCGTTCTTGTCCTGCGGCAGGTTGAAGGAGAAGGACACGAGGTTGCGGCCCCGCACCTTGAGGCTGGCCTCCAGCTCCGAGTTGGAGTACAGGTTGCTCTTCACCTTGATCCCCGACTCCCCCCAGAACATGTCCGTCTGCATCGTGGAGATGATATCCACCGAAACGGAGGGCTTGAACCTGCCCTGGACATCAAAGTGCCAGTCGGTGGGGGGCTCCATCTGATCCAAGCTCCCAGAGACGCGCAGGTCCACGGAGGAGGCGCCAAACGCGTGGATGGCCAAGGGGAGACCCACTGCCAGGGGCACCGTGTAGGAGGCGTCGAGGAAGACCCGCGACTTTGTGTAGGTGAACTCCTTGCCGGAGAGCACGCGGTTGGCCTGCTCGAACGGATTGAACTGCGCGGCCAGGGCCATCACCTCCATCATGGACTCGACGTTGTAGTAGCGCAGATCGTTGCCAAAGACCCGGAGGCCGAACTGCGCCCGCGGGTTGCTGTAGTCGTACTTCAGTTTGTAGCCGAGTTTATCCACGTTCCGATCGATCGAGTCTTTCCTGGCGGATGCGGATGCGGCAGCTCCCGCATCGCGCTTCTGCCTTTTGGATCCGCTCAGCGCCTCCTCGTAGTCGTAGTCCTCATCTTCCTCCTCCGTTCCCGCGCCTCCTGCTGCGGCTGCTGCCAGCTGGGCCTTCCGCTTGAGGCGGAGGCTGTCCAGACTCAACAGATTCTCGATGGTGTCCTCCTCCTCGGCGCTCTCGTTGCCCAGCCAGCGGTTCAGGAAGGAGAGCTTCTTGCGCAGCAGCTCCCCGTTGAAGGGACCCTTCGGTCCGAATGCGCCCGCCACCAGCTCCTCCAAGCCCTCCGCCCGCGCACTGAACTCGAAGAAGTTCACGGACTGCCCGAAAAGATCCGCCGTGAAGTTGACGCTGGCGATGCGCGGCAGGTAGGAGTCGGTGCCGAAGATCAGGTTGGCATCGGTGGTGGTCCCGAAGTTGTACTCGTCGAAGAAGAGACTGTGCTCGTAGTTGCGCGAGAACTTGCGGATGTCCAGCTTGAATCTCTCCGAGAGCTCGTCGTTCAGCAGCAGACCCTGGGCCTCAATCCTCACGGGGGAATTCGATTTGGCGAGGTTCGTGAGATGGGACCACACGAAGGAGCCCACCTGGTTGATCTGCTCGTGATCGAGGATCGCCTTGATGCTGCCCACGGAGATGTAGTCCGGACAGCGCATGGCCTGCAGGTAGCTGTAGATCCTCAGCTCCGAATTGAGCGTGTAATTCGCGTAGCGATCGAGGAAGTATCCCCGATACTTCAAGCAGTCGACGCGCCTGAAGGCGAGTATCCCCTGCAGCCGAAGGTCCACGGGCACCGCATCGTCCCGGATGATCTCCTGGACCTGCTCCGCGAAGGCCGCAGAGATGACGCCAATGTTCCCAAGGCCCTTGAGCAGCACCACCAGGCGCTCGCGATGCTTCCGCTCGCCCTTGTACATTTGGAATCTGCTGAGGAACTCCGTCTCGAGGAGGTTGATGATCTGCTGCACACGCAGGCTCTCCTCGCAGGCCTCGTGGTGCTTGCAGTAGCTGTGCACCACCGCAGTGGCGCCCAGAGTGTACTCCGGGTCCAGTCGGTGCTTCGCGTACTCAAGAATCGTGTAGAAAGTCTCGAGCGTCTGCTCGTCGGGGCGTGTTATGAACGACAGCGATGTCATCCAGCTGTGGGCCATCTGCTTGGGCAGCTTCTCGCCCACAATCTGGTCGCGCATCACCTGATAGGAGGCGGTGCTGCCGATGTACGGGAGGGATTCCAAAACGTGGTTTCTTCCTTGGTCGCAGGTGCCGGCCGAGCGCTGCAGCAGAACGGAGAGCGTCTTGTAGTCGAGGCTCTTGCAGGTGTGCAGGAAGCTCGAGAAGATGTCAATGAACTCGCGCTGAATGTTGGGGAAGCCCAAGGCGCACATCTCCACCAGCTGCTCACGGGCGGCCTTGATTTCGTCATGACTGGGCTTCACCGCAGGCGTGTGATCAAACACCAGAGTGGCACGACGATCCACGAGCTCGGGATCTGTTTTGGGGAGAGATAAGCCATGAGCCGAGGGATATTTGCTTTTGCCGAACACTTACTCTGCTCCAGGAACTCCCCGGCGCTGTAGTTCTCCTCCTCCTTCAGCAGCAGTCGGCTCCGGCTGGTGGTCAAGGCCCCCGAGCTGGCGTTGGAGAAGGGCACCAACAGATGCGTCTCTACGCAGCTAATCTCGCGGTACATTCTCTGGTCCACCGTCAACTGCAAGGAGAAAGATCGAAATGCATCCCCAAGTCAAATGAGAATCTATTTGGCACTCACATTGCAATAACTCTGGGAGTTGAGGATGGGCCAAATGGTCTTGTCGTCGCGGAAGGTGTAGGGCGTCGTCTGGAGCACCGAGTGCGTGGCATAGCGTTGCCTGCAGCTGGCAATGTCCTTGGTCTTGCGTATCGTCACATAGACATTGTCCGTGGCCTCGAGGGCGTACTGCACCTGGCATTCGCCGGAGACGTCCGTCTCTGTGGTGTTGAAGTCCACATCGAAGCGCATCATCGTGTTCTGGAAGGCTGAGAGAATGCCCTTCTTGATGTTGAGGACCCAGGGGGTCTCCTGCTCCTGGGGGCACACCTCGCCGATGAGGCCGTCGTGGAAGGCGAAGCGCAGCAGGTTCTTGCTGAGATCAATGGCCAAGCTTACGCTCTGGGGATGCAGGTTGTCAAAGTCTCCCGTCTGCTGCTCATCCACGTTCTCGGCGCTGGTCAGACTATCGTAGTAGTCGTAGGACGGCTCCTTTGGCTTCTCAGGTTCGTTGTCCACATCCTCCAGGCGGTCGTAGAGCTTGGCATCGTTGATGCGCAAGTAACCCTCGCAGGGCTTCGGGAAGAATATGTCCAGATTGGTCTTCAGCACCAGATCCGAGCTGTTGTCCCCCGATCCGGCGAACTCTGTGCGCAGCGACACCGTGTACTCGTACTTGTACAGCTTCTCGCCGTAGCTGAACTTGGGATTCTCGATCTCGCACTGCGGTCTTCCGCAGATACGGGGATCCTTTAGGGGATCTATAACAAAAATTTATTCATGATTATCTAATAGCGCATCGTTCTTTTACTTACTCTTTCTCGCTGCCTGGCAGTGCGCGGCAATGAGCAGCAGCAGCCCCAGGCCTGCCGCCAGTCTATACAGTGCGCCCATGTCTGGGCGACTTCTCCTTGACGATCGAACGCTTCTCTGGCCGAAGGGATTCACCCTCTCTCCTGCAACGAAACGAAATGCAGAACATCTTTAGTGTGTGGCTTGGAAATGTAGCGGCCTTTAATAGAATATAATCTTGCATTTGATTAGACAAAGGCAGTAACGATGGCCGTAGGTCGCCTGAAAACATTTCCATTATCCATTCGTTTGACAAGCTGACACCAGCAGAAACTACTGATGAAGGAGGAGCCTGGCGTTACTTCTGTAATATTTGCAAAATGATTTCTCGCTCAAGTGGGTTTTAGGTTTTGTGCATTTGCCAGGAGTGCGGGTGGCACCATTGCTGTGGTGTGGTGTGGTTTCTGCTGTTGTTTTCCTTTGAAGCCATCCAGAAAGTGGAGGAGTCATCCGTCCATTATTATAACACATCCCCTGGCCCCTGGCTCCGTCGCTCCATCGCTCCATCGCTTTCTGAAAGCCAAATGCAAAGCCAAAGCAAATCAATTGAATTTCCACTTGATTCCACATAAAACACACACAAAACCAGGGACCAGGGACCCAAGAAGAAGCACTCGGGCGGTCCGTCCCATGCCATCCCAACCTCCATCATTAATTCCAGCAATAAAGTGGGTGAAGAGGCGTGCGCGACTCCGACAGCTCGATTGATGCCAACTGTTGTTTGCATTTGCATTTGATTTTAAAGCAGCTATCGAGCATCAGGCGAGGGGGATGGGGGATGGGGGATGCACAAAAAACCAACAGAAAGTGTTCTTTTTTCTGGCTTTCTGCATTTCCTGCACTTTGCAGTCGCATATAAATCCCCAGATCTCACACTACTCCTGCACCTCCTTCGGATGCGTCTCCTTTACGCCCTTTTCCGGAGCTTCCTTCTGCTGTTGCCGCTGCTGCGGTTTGGGCCTGAGGTCTGATTGCGGTTCGGGGTGTTTGCTGACAATGATTGCTGCAAGAAACAGTGAGAGCACTTAACACTTTTTTGCACTTCGACCCACACGCCTTGCCCCCTACTCAGGGGGAACGGGAGGGGGCTGGGGCCGTCGTGTACATCAATTCGTCCATTTCCATCCATTGACGTTGCTGCCTCGCTCCACCCGGCGCCTGCTTCCTGATGCTGCTGGCTGTCGGAATGCTTGTGTGTGGCTGTCACAGATTGAATTGCGATTGCTTTCCTTCGCTGCTGCGAGGGTAAATAATGACTGCAAATCACGCAGCTGACGCCAATCTGGCCAAATTGCAGTTTCCTATATGTTTTATCGCTTGGATTTGCCAGTTTTTCTTGCTCCAACAGAAGCGTTCACGTGGTAACTAGGAACCGGGGATAAAGAACCAGAAAATGGGGGACTGCAGTGGAACTAAGCCAAATGAACTGGATATCGGAAGCAGTTCCCTGTATCGATTTCGGGGCGAAGAAAGCTGCAGAAGAACTGGTTCCTCTGAACCAACATATCGATCTTGTTTGTTTTGCTCTTTTTACGTGAAGTTGATTTGCGGTTTTTTAATGGAATATTCGCGTCGGGAGTGAAAATATTCGCAAATACAAGTGCAGCCAAGATCAGTAAATGGTGTAACATCATTAAAAGCTAGAATTGAGTGCGCGCTAACCCCGATGCCGGTGGATTAAACCAGACACGACTTGACCTACGGCAATGTGCACTCCATTTCGGTTGCAGTTGACTGCCCTTGGTAATTCGCGCGTGTTTTTCGCTTTTCGGTATTAAATGTGACTGGAAATAATTATGAAGTTATCTGCAACCAAGATCGCTGCTTAATTTAGCGGCTTAGCCGCCTCCCTCTAACCTCAAAGCTGGGAATAAAAGCAAGACAGAAAAAGGCACCGCATGGCTGCCACAGACACAGTGGAGTCGAGATACTGCTGCAGCATACTATCAGTGGCAAGAGGATGCTATTGCATTATCTTCTTGTCAGCGGGGGCGAACCGAGATGCCCCGCGGGTCATCCCATCCCACTGGTGGTGCTTCTGATTCTGCCGCTGCCGACGTCGCTGCCGGAGCGGACAAAGCCGATAAGCGGCTTAACATCCGCGCGGGGGCCTGGACAAAAATTGGACGTGGAATAGACACAGGGTATGCATGGATACATAATTTCGAAAGATTTAGAGGAATAATCATAATGGAAATGGAAGTGGTTTTTCGGATTGGGATTGGGATTGGACGAGGGGACTGGCTCTGCTCTTTGATGATGATGATTCCCGATGATGCACTTTGGGTTAATCCCAATAAAAACAATGCCAAAAATAATAGCAAAAAAAAAAACCAGGACAGCCCCGAGTGCCCATAAATTGAGACCCTCTGCCCCGCCGCTAGTGTACTCACCCCTTCCCTTTCCCCTTTCCCCTTACCCATTGGCATAACCGAACAAACAAAACTTACGGTTACTTGCCCAAAGCCAGAAAACTACGGCGCCATTTGTTTTCATATTTCTCCTGCACGCCTGTCCCGCTCTCTCACTCTCTCTCTGCTCTCCCACATCTACACATGCTCTATCTCGCTCACACTCCCTCTCGAAGGCAAGCATTTTTGTAAAAATGCAATTTTCAAGCGAAGGTGAAGTTAAAGTTGAGTTTCGCTGAAGAGGTGGAAGGGGAAGGGGAAATGAGAGAGCGTGTGAGTAAGAGAGCGGGTGAGAGAGTGTAAAGAACTTTAGCAGATTGTTAGCGAGAGAGAGGGAGAGGGAGATAGCGTATAAGAACAGCTAAAAAAGTGAATTGCTTGTAAAGCGCCGACCAGGGAATACTCTGCAGCAGTGATGCGGTTGTGTGGAAACGTGAAAACGAACTTACAAACTTCAGGAAAACTGCAGGGAAATCGAAATGTGAGATCCAATTATTGTCCAAGAATACTCTCACATAAAGTGCTTTGATCCGGCGGCAGGGAAAGGCAAGGCGGATGCAAATTGATTTTGAACCTGATATTTTATGCTCCCTCCTGACCCCTGGCGTCCGTTTGTGATCTCCTCCACGGAACTGAACGTTCAACAAAAAGTAATAAAAAGCGTAGAAATTTTCACTAACATAAATTCCAACGTAAATGCAATTACGTTTGTTGCAACAACTTGTTAGTGGATGGCGGGAGGAAGCGTGGCGGTGTGGGGCGGGGCAGGGCAGTTTCACCTTCCTGGATGGGGTCATGCGTGCCGCACTTTCTCCCCGCCGCACTTCCTCCCTGCCGCACACCGCCCATACATATGTTCCACATGAATTGCAAGGCGGAAACACTTTGCAACGTCAACATCGTCGTCTCGTCCCTAGTCCTTCGCTCCTGCATGGCATGCAAATCTAATAACAAAGTACGCAAAGAAGTTCCATATGCAACGAAGGAGGAGGAAACATCAACGTGGAAGGAGCTGGAGGTGGCGTCTGGGTCCTGGAGATGGAGCTGGCACTGGCGCTGGCGCTGGCTCTGAAAGAATGGAGGAGTAGCACATCCTCTGCAAGGACGATTGCATTGCGTTTATTCGATCATTTTTGAAGAGTGCGTTTCGTCCTGATGCAGCAGCAGCAGCAGGAGCACTCGGAAGAGCCCCATCATCAGTCGGAATGGAGGAAGCACGCAGTCATTGCATAAAGGGAGAGCAGTTTGTTCCTACATCCTCTACGAGGATTGTCCTGCTGGTGCTACTGCCAGGGGCAACGGGAAAATGGGAGCGCAAGCGGCAATAAGCTCCTTCGTCCTTCGTCCTTCCTCCTTCGTCCGCCTGCGACTTCTATTAGTTTTTCCAGAGGGATATTCGTTTTTTATTTTTTTGGAGCTGCTGCTGCTGCTGCCATTCTGCATTCCATCCTCCTCCTGGCATCCTGGCATCCTCGCATCAGGCGCCTGTTCCTACGGATAGGCTCCTCCTTGTTATTGTTGGCTTTGTTCCCATTTTGTGTTTTTTGCACCACCCCCTCCCCACTCCCCACCCCCACGAATGGGCCCCCTAATGGCCTCCGCCGTTAAATGGGGCGCCATGTTTGTCCATTGCCTGGGTCCAGGGTCCCACTCCCCCTCCTGCTCCTCCTGGATCGACGTGCATGCAATATGCAATGCATTTTTTGCCCAGGTTCAATAAAGACAAAGGTGAAAGGTGAAACGAGCGGAGAGGGGCGGCACAGGCGGGAAACACAGGTGAAAATCGCTCGTGTGTTGGGTGAGAAATTGGAAAATTGAAAATTATGTGTATCACTTGAAAAATGGCTAATAAACGAGATTAAAATGGGCCTAAAGCGAGAGCCAGAGAGGGGGGGAGCCTCTCTGTGATTTTTCAGCTGTAAAGCGAACGAAAGCTGAGGAGAAGTGCGGAAAAGCGGGATGAAAGGATAAACGACCTAGGGAAAAGCCTGGGAAACTTCTATAAATGGAAAACTGGAATCCGAATGAAAGGTCTGGCCTGGAAGGCAGTGGCTTAAATATGGGAAATTTAAAGGATGAATCTCCATTGTTTTTCAATAGAGGATTGAGGAGCTGTTCTACTCGAATGATCCACTTGGAAGAGACACACACGATTAGGGGGGTGACCGCCTCTCGATAGCCCTCCCAATTGCAATCACATCCCCTGTAGGACTCGTAGGACTCCTGGGATTCCGTTTTCCAAAGTGCTCCTCAAATCAATACGCATACGCACCGTTGTACAGCAACTGCAACTGGCAGCAGGCAGACATTTGCATAATTTGGCAATGCTCTCACTTAGATTTTGATGCCAGTTCTTGCCCCATCCCCATTCCCGTTCCCATCCATGGAGGAAGAACTATTATGCAAATATGCATTTAAGCATGGAACAAAAAAATATCCCCTGTGCCATTTGGAAGGCAAAGACTTGCAGTCAACTGCAGAGCCGTAGCTGAAAGGAGGCAGGAAGGAAGGATGGAGGAGACCCACTGCCTGGTGTCTCGGAACTCGGATCTCGTATGAAGGTGTTGCCCAAGCAGTCGCCCTGCCCTGCTTCCAGGAGTCTGCCACCTCGGGCGGAAGGCACAGGGCGGGGCAGTTGGCAGCAGTTTGTCTGGCTGTCGGGCTGTCTGGCTGTTTGTTGGTTTTATGTGGCTTAAATCGTAGCCATTTCCACAGACGCCGCCCCACTCCGGCCCACCCTGCTCCCTTTTTTTTATCCCCGTTTTCCTGCTGTTTTTCCTGCTGTTGTGGCGGCTCCTGTCGTTGGGCGGCTACTTAGTTCTTAGTCGCAGTCGTCGCCGCACTTTTGGCTCGTTTAATTTTTATGGCTTTGTAATTAAAAATATTATGAGACCAGCAGACCAAGAGGAAGGGGCAGAGGCAGAGGCACAGGCGGAGGCGGAGGCGGAGGAAAAGGTGAAAGGAAACTACTCTCCTTTCTGCCATCTGTTTAAGCGGGAGGCTTTAACGGGGTTTCCGGGATTTGTTCTCCAACTCCTTTTCTACGAGGATGAGGAGGGGGAGTGCTGCTGCTGCTGTTGCACGTGTTGCTGTGCCCCACTTAAGCGCCTCTTCAAGCAGAGAGAGAGGTGGGAAGGGGGTGGCGATTTATGTGGTTCATCCATAATGAAGCCTTAAATAAGTATTTGGACTCTCGTTTCTAACCAGATTATTTCTACTCTCTTGCAGGAGAGATGTCTCCCCCTCATCCTGGACATGCTCCACAGCCCTAATCCCAGGCGCTTTGTCCGGTGTCTGGAGGCCCCGGGAAGGAAGAAGGAGGAAGGACCTAAGGGAAGCGTAGCACATGCATCCATGCACCTTAAGGAGGCACAGACGTGTCTCCTCCCTTATGGCTGGGCTCCCTTCTGGGGCTAAGGGTTAAGGCAGATTGATGGGCACGAGGAGTGGAAACCATGTCGCCACATGCCACATGCCACCTGCCACCAGCCACATGCGCCACATGGCTGAGTCTGACATTTTTGGGGCTCAGGGCGGGTTAAGTGCGTGCTGGCCAACAAGTGGACGACGACGACGACGACGACGACGACGACGACACTCTAGCGGACAGATCGCTTGAGGAAATTAAACGAAAACCCGGCTGCTACAAAGGAGTGCCGCTCCTGCACCCCCCTCTGGCGCAGTCCCCGCTGACAGCCAACACCCAACAGCGGGGAGGAGAGCGGGGAGTGTGTGCCCCCTGAGAGGAGAGGTTTAATCCCCCACCTTTTGGATGTGTGTGTGTCTCGTCGGACTGTCACTTTGTGTCTCTCTCTCTCTCTCTCTCTCTCTGTGTGTTAAGTGTTTCGCGTTCGCGAGTGAAATGAAAATCCAAGAGCGGAAAATGCCCCGCAAAACGAGACAGAATTTATACGGAAAGGAAAACACAAAACAGAATGTGCGCCAAAGGATTGGAAATGCAAATGGAAATGTGTGAAATATACTGCTAATATTTGGGGTAAGTTCTGTTTTGAGTCACTATTTTCAAACCCGATACTCGAAGGTCAGAGGCGCCTATTAGATTTGGGGATAACGCGCCGAAAAAGCGTTTACGATCCCTTAAAGTATATATTTTCTGGATCAGCATCTACAGCCGAGTCGATATAGCCATGTCTGTCTGTCCGCCTGTCTGTTCGTCCCTCCCGATGAGCGACTAGATCTCAGAGACTATGGGAGCTCAGAGCGCTCTGCCATTTCATCATTTTAGCGGAGGTGAGCCGTAACGACTGAGTATCGGATATAAATCGGGAGTTGCGGCCTTTGCTCGTAAAATATATACTTTTATAAACATTTGGAAGAAACTCGTAAACATTTTGAAGAATACCTCCCGCATTGGACCCATGAATGCCCCTCAACGATCCCATTTTTATACCAAAAAAATTGAATGCAATCATCGAATAATCATTGAATAATCCCCAGAGTACTGCAGTTCAGAGCTCAGTTCATTCATGAGCTGAATATTCAAATCAGTCGTTTCTTGGAAATGATTCGTACAGATGAGATTTAATACTCTGATTTTATTGAAGTCTTAAAAACTAGAATAAATACATATATGGTTTAATGGTGGAAAAGTGATCTCATGCTTCACTTATCTGCGGAAATCAAAGCTGATAGAGATCCAAGATCCCCGGATCCACAGTTCGATCAACTTTGTAGCGGATTGAAATTCAAGATCGAAGGGAAGCGATGATAGGGGAGGTATGGGGGGAGCTCTTATCAAGAGCATTCAATACGTTTCGCACGTTTCTGCTACAATTATTATTATTTTATAAAATTGTACTACAGATTGTGGATTATTTCTCTTTTATTTTTTATTGGAGAGCTTATTCGTAGTGCCAGAGAGAGCTCTGGAACTCTTTCCAGAGAGTACTCTCTCCCGATCTTCCATCATCCGTCGCTTATCATGTTTCACACACACTTTATTTATTTATAAAAACTGAACAGAACTGCTGCTTTTGCTAGGCTTTGGGCTCTGGGCTCTGGGCTGCTGTATCATCAGTTGAATGAATATTTGTATTGAACTCTTGAACCGATCGGATCGGCTTATCTATCGCCAGCCAACCAGCCACTGAATCCGATTCCGAATCAACGGATCTACGGATCCACGAAACACGTATGAGGTTCAGGGTTCAGTTCGAACGGCGGACATGTGGCTTTACACTAGTTTGAGGTTATTTTCCATATATTTGCTTCACTTTGCCTTCACTTTTCACACGTTTTCCGCTTAAGCAGGGTCTTTGGGTCTTTGGGCAAAGCTCTGAATTTTCCGCACACATTTTGTCACATTTCAATGCACTTTGGGGCACAGAAAACAGAGCCGCACGTTAATGAGTTGCAAGTTCACTTCCGGTACGTTAAGCACACACAGGGAGGGGGTAAAGGGGACTGTTGTCGGTCGTTGCGTCGGCGCAACGGGATCGAAACACGATTGTATCCTTACTTCCGTTTCAAACGAGCAGCCGCCAAAAAGCCTTTTTCCGAATTCGGATTCCGATTTTCGATTTCCGATTTCCGATTCCTCTGGAAGTCCAAAAAAAAACTCTCGAGGATGCGTCCGTTGCCCACGAAGCGGCAAACACGAATGAGGAGGAAATCTGCTGCCGTTTCTGCTGCCGCTACTGATGCTGCCACTGGCAGTGCTGCCGCTGCCGCTGCCGCTGCCGCTGCTGCTCCTCGTTCGTTTATTTCATTCGTTTCCAGGCTTGGGCTCTCGTGCTCAGAGCCGACTATCGACACAGCACACACACACAGACACACAGTGCACCCCCCTCTGGAGGGTGGAGGGGCTGGGGCAGAGCCAGCAGATAGCAGATAGCGCCCTGGCTGCTGGCAGAACAGAACAGAACGGAACAGAACAGAACCGAACATCTTCTCGGCTTACAAAATGCGTATTGAATGAATCTGTGAATCGGCGCTGGAATCGGAATCTGAAGCTATGGCTTTGGCCTGTCGTTGGACCTAGAAGCTGTCGATGTCCGCTGTCTGTGGCAGGGGCATGAATGAAATTGTCGCGCGTATAAATACACGCATCGCATCGCATCGCATCGCATCGCATGTGGGGACACAATCAGAGCTGGCCGCTGCTTGTGTCCTGTCCTCCTTCCTAATGGGTCTCCTTCTGTCTGGCTTTCTGGCTATCAGTGCGTGGGACAGGCCTCGCACCGTGGGGGGGCATCGCATGGCATCCCCCAGGATACTGGACACATGCCACATATTTCCAAGGATTTCCCCCTGTCACTAGCTACAGGGTATTCCCTGCTTCGTTGCTCTATGGGCTTCCATTTCGCTTTTTGTTTTGATTTGATTTCGATTTCATGCTGTCTCCGTCTCTCCCTCCCTCCCTCCCTCCGTCCCTCCCTCCGTCCCTCCCTCTCTCTGTCGTGGCTGCTGTTTCTGCTAGTACTTGATGTTTTCCTTATCAGTACTCGCCTGTGGTGTGTGTGGACTTTATATTTTATATTTTATTCTATTCTGTGTCTTGCCTCTGCAGGCCGCCCCCCCCTCCTGGCGGCTCCCTGCTGCTGGGTTACATGTATTTATTTTATAGTAAAATCAACAACCGAAATGTCGAATCTCGAACTGCAAAAGGGAAGGGGGAGTACCTCCAAGGGGGGGGATGAGCGGTTGATTGATTGCAAAGGGCGATAGTGGGAGGACCCGACGGAGACGGAGATAACAAGTGGCAGCGGCAGCCATAGATAGAGCTGCCTGGAGTTTCCTCTGATAAGATTTCCCCGATCTCTCTCCCTCTGTGCCCCTCCTCCTGGTTCCTCTTTCGAGTGAACGGATGAATGCTTGTCTCATGCTGAAAAGTGAAAGTGGAAAAGCCGCCCATCTTTCGGAGGATGCCTCCCAAGAACAGGGGCTGGGGGGCGTGGGGGGCAGACCTTTTGTGGCAGCTGTTGTTCTTCTTGTTTTCGTGGGTCGCGCCTTCTGCTGCTGATTCTGCGGTCCGTTTTCTTATTATTTTTTGTTGTGCCCCAGACCAAAAAAAAAAAACCCAAAAAAATACGCCAGGAATTTAATTTTCCAATGAAACGAAATGTGAAGAATATTATGAGAGTTTTCTTCCTTTTGGTGCGTGGGCATCGGACACAATATTAATGCAAAATTGTTGTCCGAAATGCGGCCACTCCCCCCCTCTACCGTGCAGTGCACTCTCTGCCCCAAACACCCTCCCCCTTGCTTTCCCTCCTTGGAGATGGAACTTTTGAACCATTTATCGTTTATTTTTGTATGCAAATTGAGAGTTTTCCGAGTTGGACTGGGTAGAGGGTAGAGGAATCCCTTGAATGGCCGTCCTGGGAGTAGAAGGAATAGGAACTCCTTCTGCCAGGTGTTGAGGCAGAGCAGGTGTATCTGCATCTGTATCTGTATCTGTAGCTTTGCTGTGTCTGTGCATCTCTGCCCCATGGGCATCGGAGTCGCATTTTCGCATTCCTCTTCCTTTCGTTTCCTTTAGTTTCGTTTGTGAGTCAATAAAATAAATGCTGGAGCACTTTGCTGCTGCTGCTGCTGCTTCCTGCCTCTTGACTCCTGCCTCCTGCCCCCTTGCCCCCTGCCCCCTCTTGCCCCTGGTGCTGTCTGTTGCACATTTTATGCATATGAGTGGTAAATACTTGAACAGAGGGAGAAACGGGGGAGAAATCTCTTGGCCCACTAAGTGTCTTAAGGGGCAGTGTCTTGTTGTAACAACTTGCAACTTGCAACCAAAAAACACCAGAGCTCTCGACGAAGGAGTGGGCGGAGGAGGAGGGAGAGGGGCACCGCCTCGAGTGCTTCGAAAGTTGAGTTTTGTGCTAGAAGAGATTTGTGCGAAGTGGAGGAGTCGCTTTGCCTGCTTGCTGCGGTTGCATGCCGCATGCCGCATGAATGATAAATAACAACATTTCTTGCACCATTTCCTGAAACTTTTCGGCCCCCTTCCCCCTGCCCCCTGCCACATGCCCCTCACCCGAAAAACATGGCAGCAATCGCAATCGAAGGTTAAAGTTTTCCACTAAAAATGCACGCATCGAATGTGCTCGCCCTCCCTCTCCTCCCTCTCCTCTGTCTCCTCCCCTCTCCCATTTCCCATTTCCCAAATTTGCATTTTCCAATGTGTGTTTTCCCTCTCTCTCTCTCTGGGAAATTATTGCTGTTGCAACAGAAACAGAAACAGAAATGCAATCCAACTTCAAATCTTTGCAATTTTCAATCAAAATTTGAAATTAGAATATTTTGTATTTACAAAAACAATTTTTCCTCATAATTTTCCAACTCTTAGAACGAAAATTTCTCATTTTGTGGCTGAAACTGCAGCCCCCAGAGGGACGCAGGAGGAAGGAGGGAGGGAGAGTCCTTCGTCCTGCTGCTGTCATAATGAAAGACTCTTCGCCACTGACAAAATCGAAGAGGGAATACCCTTTATGTGGCAGAAGTCGAGAGTCCTCCAACCGGAGGCCACTCCCACCCTCCTCAGGATCGGGGGTAAACCTTCTAGTAAACGATCCAGATCGAGGATCTCTGCTCGTCATAACCGACTCAGGAGACCCTTTCTCTCCACCTCTTGGTCTCCCCCCCTTGGTCTCCTTCTAGTGGTGGAGAGACGAAGCTTTGTTGCTCTCTCTCTCTCTGTGTGTAAGAAGAGGACTTGCCACTAAATAAATAACATGACCATAAACGCATGCGGGGGGAGAGAGGAGAGAGGGCTGCCAGGGATAGCAGGGACGAGGGTGCTGCTGCTGGTGGATGTGAAAAAATGTTGCACAAAAAAGTTGTGAAAAATTGCATCACTTGCGAATGAAAGAAAGTTTTTAAGCGCCAAGCGAAAGGATTTTCCGCAGCAGTTTTCCCACAGGGTTTCCCAAGGGGTAGGTGGATGGGGGGGGGGGGGGGGGTGGCATGGCTAAATAATAGAGAAGCGGGAAAAATAATAAACTCATAAATAGGATGACAAGTGTGTGGAAGCGGAGCCACGAGGATGTGGAGGATGTGGGGGATGCGAGGGCAAAGCCGAAGCAAAGGACAGACGAGGACAAATTGCCTCTGCAGCAGCAGCTGTGTGGGGGGTGGACGAAGGGGGGTTGTGGGGCAAGATGGATGAAAGATTTACTGGCGATGGCACCCCCTAACCCCCTTCCCCCCGCTGCCCCAAAAAGGAGGAGAACTTTAATCAGCGGACGATCCCGAATGTTGTGTGGCAGCGGCAGACATTGTTTTAATTTGCAATCTGCCACTGCTGTAAGTGCCCCTCGTGCCCCCCATTCTGTGGTGGCATCAAATGTCAAACTTTTCATTGGACTCTGAAGCAGAGTTTCCGTTTGATTTTCCTGCCTTTCCTTCCCTTCCTGCTGATGAGGTTCCCTCTTTTCCTTTTCCTTACTTTTTCGTAGTTTTAGCCATGTTTTGATTTTCCAAGGGGCAACAGCACCAGGGGGCAGGGGGCGAGGGGCGGGGGGTGTAGTGAAATGCAAAGCCAGAAAATTTGAGAAAATGTAGAACTTTTTTTGCGGTTTTGCGTTTGCCTTTTCTTATAGTTTTTTGACAATCGCAAAAGTTTGCGACTCTCCGCCGGAGAACTCTCTTTCGAGAAACGGAGAACGTGTTGCGCCTTGCCCCCTGGAAAGTTGTTTAATGAATGGTGTGGCACGGTGCAGCAGGGGTGGGGGCATATATTGTTATGCCTGCCCCACGAAAAGTTCTCTCTTGTTTTGACGTTTCAATTAAAGAGTGGTGCCCCCTGCCCCCTGCCACATGCACCCCCCCATAGAGTGGAGTGGTGGAGGTTGCTAATTATCGCAGCGGAGTAGTCGGACTCATGGCTGGAAATGGCGGGGTGGCGGGATGGGAGGAGGTTGGGAGTCCCCTTTGCTGCCTGCAACACGGTTAACGCCACACAGAGAGCGACTGAGCGACGCAATGAGGCAGCTAGCCTGTCGGAGGGATGGGAGGGCGGAAATGAAATCAGGACTCTGCTTCCCTCCACCGCAGGATCCTTTGGGGCCGCGAAGACAAGTTTCCGCTCGTTTCCGCTTGCATCGAATGGGGAAAACTTTCGTTAAACAGCCGCTGGGAAAATTATTGAGGAAACGTTTTGTAGTTACAGTGGGAGGGGGGCAAGGTTATTCAAATAAGTGCACCCCCCCGCAGAGAGTGAGGGAGAGGGAGAGTGCGACATGTGGCACACACAGTGTGTGCCAATAAGCCGCTCACACGATGCTGATGGGGCAAATGGGGCAGAATGGCAAATACGCCACAGATGAAATTGATATTGGGCTGCTGCCGCTTCTCTGGCTAGTGCCTCCTCCCCGAAAGACAGGGCCCGGCTCCCATTTGGGCCACCGCCTCAGACGTGGGCCATAAATAGGAAACCATCTTCTGGAGCCCAAGAACCGGCCAGAAGCCATCCAGCCATTAGGGTCACTTCTGGCCAAGACAGAAGGGGCAAGTGGCGCCCGAATAGGAGACACATTCCGCACATGACAATGAGGCAGGACACCCCTTGGACCGGGGCGGGGCGGGGCGTCGATGGCTAATCAAGCGATGAATTATG